GTTCATACTGGATTGATGTTACACTTCTGAGGGAGTTTCTTCGCGCGAGCCCAGCTTATCTCCCCTCTAATCCTGTTCACGTCAAAATCGAGGCAAACCCTCCTTTAGTACCTCCTCCCACCCCCGTTTCGGTAAAACTGGAAGTAGGATCGATAGCTATTCTCCCCTCTCACGCGCCTGTCAAGACGCGTACACTGAATGCCGGTGGTCATGAGATCATTGGCTTCTGTCGGATTCAGAGTCGGACGGCGCAGAATCTGATCTCGAAGTCACGGATGTATTGATGCATGGAGCATCGCGTTCTTCGAGCCCCGTTTCTCAACAGCTCCTTGGGGAAATTGGTGGGTGAATTTATTGACTACGTGCAATTGTTGGCTTATTTTATCAGTAGGTTCGGACGATGAGACAGCCATCTCATCAGGTCCTTTCCAACCATGTTCTGGTGCGTAATTCTGGCTCATACGATGAATTGACTCCTAATCATCATTAGACGACGGTCATTCGGATGATCATGAGTCGCTCCCGGCGGAAAAGTTTCCGCTGGTAGAATCCAACACGCACTGGATGGTGTGACATCCATGGTGCGCATCGGGTCTTTCCGCATCACCAGAAAAGTGAAGGTCGAACAGATTGAGTACGTTACTGGTGCTCCATCAATCCTCCCCATCTTCTGTACCCCCACCGCCATTGTCATTGATCTCAGCGACCCCGACTATGCGATCATTGACCCCAAAACCGGTAAAGTCTGGGCACTTGATGGCGTAGTTCGCGATATTGTAAGTGCGACTGTTCACCAAACAATTGTCTCTGACTTTCTCACTCCTGGACGAGCGAGGGCAGTGGTGGCGGTGCCTGGGGAGCCTCTTATTCAATGCCGCCGTTCTGGTTCCACTTGCTGCGGCGCAAAGAAATCTAAAAAGGTGGGCCCGAATCATTCTGCAGATGTCGTCAATGCTAATGTCAATTCCCCAGTGATCGGTATTTATATAGATTCTTATACACCCATATGTTGTTACAATCTATGACTTTTATGCGCCGTCTGTCTGCCTTAGTACATTTATTGCACATCTAGCTGCGTGGTGAGCATGGAGTGGCAGTGCAAGAGGGATCAATTCTGAATTGATGGCACCATCGTTAACGGATGCGGCGGAGGACTGAATGTGCCGGCCATGCGCTGAGGGGTGGAACATTCGGGGGAATGTACCGGCTGCAGGCGCGAATGTGCCGCCGGTAGGCTGAATGTGCCGGGCACTTGAATGTATGTAAGTGCCGGGTTTGGTCTATCCCGCAAATGGCACTGACTCTTAGTTCGACTTGAACTTGGACAAATACACAGCTCCAACTGGCAGCGAGGATACAATTCCGACATGTCGGATGATCACTGAGCAAATAAGAATTGCAAGAATCTGGAGAGTCAGCAATGAACAAATACTTTGAACTGATTGCTGGGTCTCCTATCTCTGATTAAAAAAAATTTAAAAACACTCAATACAAAATTCGATAGTTCGGATGCCGGGAATTGAACCCAGGCCTCCCACATGCATTCCCAGCCTTTCTACTGCGAGCGGGTGTGCACCATGCACTACATCCAAGATATCCTCCTGTTTTCGTGGTTGGATACATAGGCAAGTTTTGAGCTGGAAATCAACGCGAAGACTCGGAGAATTGAAATTTTTAATATGTCTCCGCACCTCCCATCTCGGGCAACCAGGATTAGAAATCCCCGCTTATGGGATAGCCCTCGGCACACTCTGAAAGAGAATAACTGCTGAATTCCTTTTCTCTTTTTTGAAAAAAAAAAACGCGTCGTTGGAAGCATAATTCGGACGCCGGGAATCGAACCCAGTTCTCCTGCTTATTGGCAGAGCACTTGTTCTTTATTGCGAGCAGGTGTGCACCATGCACCACATCCGAGATTTTTCTCCCATTCGCAGTTGAATATACCGGCAAGTTTCTAGCGCAAGCCAACAAGACGTCCAGCTAAAAGAAATATGCTCGGATTTTAGCCACCACAGTCAGGATCCAAATACCAAACGCTGGGGAGCGAGAGGAATGCAAGTCGATCATGATCAATCAACCGACTCCGAGAGTGGGAGAAGGATGTATGTACACTCAAGGAAGACTGGACGTGGACAGGAAAAACAAAAAAAAATCCATCAGCTCCAGTTACTCTCCACTCGGACACTGGGAATCGAACCCAGCTCTCCCGCTTTATTCACCATAATAAACCGCGCAATTGCGAGCGGGCGTGCACCATGCACCACGTCCGAATTACCTTCTACGTTTCGTGGTTGGATATCTGGGCAACTTTTCCCCTGGGCTGCTATCGCCGAAACGCACACCTAAATGTTAATTCCTACTCTGAATCGTAGTTCAACAAGTTGGATCTCATCTTCATCTCACGCACGCACGACGACTCCATAGAACAAATCTCGAAGCCAAGATATGAATGGATGAATGATACAAGATACAGTTGTTGAGGGTTGAATGGTGGTACTGGTACTAGAGGTATATATACGTAGGTGGGTGGGTACGCGTCTGTGAAGGTAGGTATGTAAGGCGGAATTATACGGTGTCTATGTACGATGCGGTGCGGGATACGGGGATGCGGGGATGATGGGGTGTTGCGTGGTAGGTGTACGAGGTGTGCGGGGAGCGGGGATGTGGATGTAGATGTGGCGGGGATGGGTGGCGCGATTCCAACGCGCCGATCCAAGTAAAGCTGACATTCCGCCACACACCTCAATACGTCCTCCCCCGACTCGTGCTCCTTCCCTTCCCGTTCCCATCCCTACTCTCCCTCCTGCTCCCGCTCCCCCTGCTCTCCCTCCCACTCGTATCCCTGCTGCTCTCCCTCGTACTTGTATCCCGACTCGCACTCCTCTCCCTCTTCCCCCCACCCCCACCGAACCCAAACACCCTTTTAAGCAGCGGAACCTCCTTCGTCGGGCTCCTCTGCGGTTGGTTGAACAGCGCAGGATGCATCTGCAGTGCCGGCGCACTCGAATATCCTGGGCTCGGACCCGGTGGCGCGTAACCAGGCGATGGGTGGTACACATACCCCTTCTGCCCCGACCCCGGGGGCGGCGCGGGATACGGATACGTGCTCGCGCGACGGGCTGTGGCGGCGGCGCGCCGCCGCCTGGAACGAGTAGCTGCGCGTGCGGACTGGCTGCCCGGACCCGGTTGGGGCATCGGCATAGGCATCCCCATTTGTTGGGCCGGAGGGAGTGCGTACGAGGACAGCGGGAGCGGTGGTGCGTCTGGGGTTGGGGTTGCGGCGCGTATTGGCCGGGGCGCGATGGAAGTAGTACGCGGCGCCTGCGGGGGGGTAGAACCCTGGCGAGGGCTGGGCGGGGTAGAACGGTTGCTGTGGTGGCGGTGGCGGGAAGCCCGGGGAGAGGTGGTTGTTGCGTGCCGTAAACGTCTCCGCGCGGCGGGGCGGTCCGTGGACGCGCGGGGCCGCTGCGCGAGCGTTCCATCGGCGGGGGGCGGGCATGGGTGGCGGGGGCGGAGAGCGATACCTTCTGCGCGGTCTATCGTCAAGCTCCTCGCGGCCCGCACCGGGTGAAGCGCGTCCCGCCGCCATCGCCGCGCTCGTCGCGGTCACTTGACCGCGTGCGCCTTTTAGATTTTGAGCGTTTAAAGTTCGGGGGGAGGTCGGCGCCAGATGTGGCGGGAGTGGGTGGGGCGAAGGGGTCAGCCTGGGGCGTGGATGCTGTGAGGTGGCTCCAGTGGCCGATGCGCGCGATGGTGTCGGCGAAGCGCCGTGCGCCCTCCTCGCTGTAGTCGTATTCCGTCATGTCCTTTCTTTTCCGAGTCCTTCCTCTTTCAAGCTGCTTCTCGAGCCCCTTCAAGATCGTGCGTGAGTCACCAGCTGGAGCGTGCAATATCTACCACTCCAAGACTCCCTCCTAGCGTCCGGTATTCAGCAGAGAGTGGAAACGAGGATATGAGAAGGACGGGGGCGGGTGGGGGTAGGAGGAAGAGGGGACATGCTGATTGTAGACGCCAAATTTTTTAAAAGGGCCGCCACGTGCTATGCCGATCGCAATCCCGCGGCAGCAATTTTCCCTTTTGGGACATGGCTCCTTCTTTTTGCCCATCAGTATCGTCCCCTGGTGTTGTTGTTGTTCTACTTGCGGACTGTTCGTATCCTTGGACGCCACTAGTGCTACCCTTTTTGTTACATCTGTGCCTGCTATGCACCCCGTGTCAGTGGCACCCACCGGGACTCCGATCGTATCTCCGTAACATTCCCGTGCCAGTGTCAGTGCATCATACATGCCCTAACAGCCCCGCAGCGCCTTGGCCCTTAGTTCGCCGCTTTCGCCTTGGTTGCCGGTGTCCCTACCTCTACTCCCTGCATGACGCGGCTCTGACCACTCGACTTGTGACTGGTACTCGTCTTACAATGACTCCGTCTGACGCAACGCCTCGACCTATACACGTTTTTCTGGCGAGTCGGTTGGTTCACGGGTTCACATTCATATCGGATCCTGCTAGCCATATCAATATTCATATCTGCTCCGCGCAGCATCGGAAACGGAACGCGACACGCCACCGCCCCCGTCGCTCCGGCTCCCTGGATCGTCGTAGGCCTGAGGCGTCTATATTCTATATTCAAAGTCCCCGCTCCTGCTTCCTGGGTATTTCCGACCTCCCACCTCTACTTCCTATGTAGGCGCCACCCACGCCTCTTCCATTCCAATCACCCCCATCTGTCTATCAGTGGTATCACCCGCGAGATGCGAGATTGGAATGAATCACTTATGGCATGACAGCCTGCGCCGCCTCTTCCTCTTGCGATGCTATTTTCGGTGTGGTCTTGTGAGGTGTAAAGATATTCTTGGTCTTGGGGTGGTTCTTGACTGGATCCGTTCATTTAGGGCGCAGATCTTTAATTCATTCATTCATTCATTTAGAGGTTGGCATTGGCATTGGCATTGACATAGACATAGCGATCTGCGTCTCAGTTCTATCTCTGTATCTGCGACGAGTCTGGACTCTGCCACTGTGCACAGGCGCCCTAATCTCTCTGCTCCCTATACCTGTCTCTATCGCTATTGGCGCCAATATTAATATATTAATCCCAGCTCCATGTTCCGCATCCATCTGCATAGCGGTGCCGTGCGTTTCCGGTTTCCGGTTTCCGTTTCTTCCATCTGCGTAGTGGTGGTGTATCTGCGACTCAGGAATCAGGATCCTCGCCGCACCGCTGATTCGCAATCGCAATCTCCTTTCCGTTTCCGTCTGTCTGGTCAGGGTAGTAGGGCGCAGGCGCGCTAATCTCTCTTCTCTGCTCTGATTCATTCTGCTCTGCTTCCTATTCCCATATGAATTTGTCGGCGCCAATATTACCGTGGCCCCACACTCATCCAAGTGGTCGATTCCTCCGTGAGTCCTGGGCCTGACAGTGATTCATTCGTACGCGTATGCATCGCATCCTCTCCTAATAACATCCTAATAGACGTCCGTTCATTTAGGCTGGATCCGTTCATTTAGGTCTTCCGTCCTCGTCTCCCGTCTCCGTCTTTCATATTCGGTCTTTGTCCTTCCGTCTTCTGTCTTTCGATCATATTTCGATTAAACTCATTCATTTAGACCTTGCTGACACGCACCGCATCTTGGTCTTGGTCTTGTTCTTATTCGGGGTGATTTGATTCTTGGCTGGCTGTGACTCGATCCGTTCATTTAGGCAGAGCAGAGCTTCCGTCTTCCATCTTGATTCATTTAGAGGTTGGCATTGGCATTGACGTTGACATTGACATTGGCATAGGCATAGGCACTGCATGGATCTGCGGAGGAGGCCTTGGGTGGTCGGTTCTATCGATGTATGTATCTGTGTCTGCGATGCGACGAGTCTGGACTCTGCCACTGCGCACAGGTGTGTTAATCTCTCTGCTCTGCGGCCTATTCCTATATTCTGTCGGCGCTTATATTAATATATCACAGTTATCCCACCCCCACGGTCCGCATCGATCAGCATAGCGGTGCCGTGCGTTTCCGTGTGTTTCCGTGTTAATGGTAGGCTAACTTGCATCTGCGACTCGACTTCAGGATCCTCATCGTACCGTACCGCTGATTCGCAATCTCCGTGTCCTTCCGTCCGTCTATCTGGTCACGGCGCAGGCGCGCGCTAATCTACCCACCCAGTGACCCAGTGACCTTCTCCGTGGCTCATCTCGGTAGCGTTAATGTTAATATGTCAATCCCGGTCCCGCTCACGTCCACGTTCAAGGATTACCGATGCCGAAGTATCAGTACTTGAGGTTTGAAGTTTTACTGATCAACGGGATTTTATCAGTGACACTCGAGATCTGCGTAGCGGTGCATCTGCGACTCGGGAATCAGGATCCTCGCCGCACCGCTGATTCGCAATCTCCTTTCCGTTTCCGTCTGTCTGGTTGGGGTAGGGTAGGCCGCAGATGCGCGCTAATCTCTCCTCTGCTCCGTTCTGCTGCTTATTTCCATCGGTGCCAATAGCTCCACATCCATCCAAGTGGTGGATTCCTATCCGTGAATCCTGGGCCTGATTCATTCGCATGCATCGCATCCTTTCCTAATAACATCCTAATAAACATGCGTTCATTTAGGCTGGATCCGTTCATTTAGGTCTAGGACTCAGGAGCGCCGATCTTCCGTCTTCCGTCTTTCGATTCATTCATTTAGAGCTTGATGACGAGCACCGCATCTTGGTCTTATTCGGGTGATTCTTGGCTGTGACTGGATCCGTTCATTTAGGCAGAGCTTCCATCTTGATTCATTTAGAGGTTGGCATTGACATTGACATTGGCATTGGCATAGGCACTGCATGGATCTGCGTCGGAAGATGGTCAGTTTTATCGATATATCTGTGTCTGCGATGCGACGAGTCTGGACTCTGCCACTGCGCACAGGGGCGTTAATCTCTCTACGGCCTATTCCTATATTCTGTCGGCGCCAATATTAATATATATATATTACAGTAATCCCACCCCCACGTTCCGCATCGATCAGCATAGCGGTGCCGTGTGTTTCCGGTTTCCGTGTTAATGGTGGGCTTCCTTCCATCTGCGACTCAGGATCCTCACTGTCCGCTGATTCGCAATCTCCGTGTCCTTCCGTCCGTCTATTTGGTCCGGGCAGAGCACAGGCGCAGGCGCGCGCTAATCTACCTATAATGCCCAGTGACGTTCTCCGCGGCTCATCTCGGAAGCGTCACTATTACAGTAATCCCGGCCCCACATCCATCCAAGTGGTCGATTCTATCCGTGATCCTGGGCCTGATTCATCGTACGCGTATGCATCGCATCCTGCTCGTCTTGACCATCCTAAAGGTGGAGGAGTTCATTTCGGTCTTCCGTCTTCCGTCGGTCTTTGATCTTCCGTCTTCGATGATTGATTCGTTCATTTAGAAGGCGGTGACAGATGTGAGCATAGCACCGCATCGATCTGCGTCAGAAGATGGTCTATCTGTATCTGCAAAGCGGTGACTCGGAAGATGGTCGATCTGCATAGCGGTGAACTCAGGATCCGGACTACACCGCGTGGTTGATTCGCAATATCCGTCTATCTGGTCACGGCGCAGGCGCGCGCTAATCTACCCACCCAGTGACCCAGTGACGTTCTCCGTGGCTCATCTCGGGAGCGTTAATGTTAATATGTCAATCCCAGCCCCACGTCCATGTTCAAGGATCACCGACGCCGAATTATCAGTACTTGAGGTTGAAGTTTTACTTATCAACGGGATTTTATTAGTGACACTCGAGATCTGCGTAGCGGTGTATCTGCGACTCGGAATCAGGATCCTCGCCGCACCGCACCGCTGATTTGCAATCTCCTTTCCGTTGTCTGGTCGGGGTAGGGTGGACCGCAGATGCGCGCTAATTTCTCTTCTGTCCTTTCTGCTGCTTATTTCTATCGGCGCCATATTGCAGTGGCCCCACATCCATCCAAGTGGTGGATTCCTATCCGTGAATCCTGGGCCTGATTCATTCGTGTGCATCGCATCCTTCCTAATACATTCTAATAACATCCGTTCATTTAGCCTGGATCCGTTCATTTAGGTCTCCGTCGTCCGTCGTCCGTCTTTCATCTTCGGCCTTTGATCTTCCGTCTTTCGATTGATTCGTTCATTAGAAGTCGGTGACAGATGTGAGCATAGCACCGCATCGATCTGCGTCGGAAGACGGTCTATCTGTATCTGCAAAGCTGTGACTCGGAAGATGGTCGATCTGCATAGCGGTGAACTCAGGATCCGGATTACACCGCGTGGTTGATTCGCAATCTCCGTCTATCTGGTCACGGCGCAGGCGCGCGCTAATCTACCCACCCAGTGACCCAGTGACGTTCTCCGCGGCTCATCTCGGTAGCGGTAATCCGGCCCCACGCGTACGTCCACGTTCAAGGATTACCGTTGACACTACCACCGAGTTATCAGTGACACCGAGTTGCAGTTATCAGTTATCAGTGACACCTGAAGTTATCAACGGGATTTTATCAGTGCGATTTGACGGTATAAGCAGGATTTCTCAGTGTCAGCGTCACGGTGAGCCTGTGGGTGAGATTCCTATCCGCGTATTTACCGTATACTGTGTACCACACTGACCATGTGCCTACGGTGATTTGTTCGTGTTCGTGTGGATCCTGTCGATCTTCGGACCGCTGCGAATAGGAACATGTCTTCCTCTGCCTTCTGAGACTCCTACCATGCTGAAGGAATTAATCTCGTACTTACCCCGCTGAAAAACAAGGACAAGAACTCGACGCGGTGCACGGCGCACACCCACGTTCTTTGGAGAGTAAGGATCGACATTCAAGTGGGGGATGGGTTCGACTCCCGGCGTTCGAATATTTCGTGGATTCCCTCTGAGACTCTCGCACCCACCCGCGGAAGAAATTAATCTCGTACTTACCCCGCTGAAAAACAAGGACAGGAAACTCGAACGCAGTGCACGTGCACACCCACGTTCTTTAGAGAATGATCGACGTTCAAGTGGGGGATGGGTTCGACTTCCGGCGTCCGAATATTCGTGGAAACGAATTTTCTTTTTTCCCCCCTTTTTTTGTTCTCCTCCTCTTGGTCCATTCTCTCCCTGATCTACGTCTAGCCAATTTATTCAGATCATCCGGCTTCAGGTGTTAAATCGTCCAACTTTCAAACAAGCGCGGCTGTAAGCTGAGGTATGTCTTCCACACAATGGTATTTAGCCCACTGAAGAATTACTTGTTCTGGAAGGCATACCAGCATCCGAATTGTTTTTGTGATTTGTAATAACGCGGCCAGCGATCGACGCATCAACCTTTTCGACAGACTACAACATGCGAGGTACGAGCACTCTATTGTTGTAGCGTCTGTTTATAAGAGACTACTGAAGAATAGGAACAGGAACTCGGACGTGGTGCCGGGTGCACACTCACAAAAAAATTGAAAGTAAAAGACCGTATAAGTGGGGAACGGGTTCGACTCCCGACGTCCGAATATACTCTTCGATTTTTTTTGGTTATTTTGTTCTCCCTCCCTCTTGATCCATTCCATTCTCTGACCACATCTGACTATTTTATTCAGGTCCCGGTTCAAATGAGTTCAAAAGCCAGAGCGGTACAGTGCAAGAGGTACGTTCTCGATATTCGGTAAGTCTCGTACTTATCCCGCTAAGGAGTAGTGATAGAAACTCGGACGTGGTGCACGGCGCATGCCTGCTTTACCTTTCTCTTGAGGATGTGTCTAAATGAAATGAAGCGGGAGCACCGGGTTCGACTCCCGGCGTCCGAATGATCCTTGACATCATTTTTTGTTTCTTTGCTGCCTGTTCCTTCACTCACTTTTTTTCTACCCAGTTGACTTTTTCACACCGAACTTCACAGTGGTGACTCGTGAGAAGTTTGATTCGACTTCTTCAAGGAGATCGGAGGCACGGCTTCCCGCTGAAACTCTCATACTTACCCAGCTGATGAATAGGGTTAGAACCTCGGATGTGGTGCATGGTGCACTCCTACCTTCCTTTCGTCAAACTTTTCTTCAATCTCATGAAGCGGGAGTACCGGGTTCGATTCCCGGCGTCCGAATGACCAGACCCCAGCAATCTTTTTTCTTCTAATTCTTTTCCCTTTTGTCCAGCTCCTCTCCCCTCTTCCCGCGCTTTTATTGACCATTCTGCGGGGCATCCATCCACTCATTTTATTTGACGTCGTGCTTAAACGATCGAGGCCTCCAGGGAATGTTTAGATCTGACGGGGTTCAATCAGGAAAACCAGAGCTGTATATAAGAGGTACGTTCTCAAAAATCTGAGACTTACCCCGCTGAAAAATTGCGAGGGGAACTCGGATGTGGTGCATGGAGCACACCTGCCTGCCTTTCGTGCAAATTCAGCGATATTGAAGCGGGAGTCCGGGTTCGATTCCCGGCATCCGAATGAGCTCGTTCTTCGGTCTTTTTTTTGTTCTCCCTCGTCTTCATCCATTCTCCTCTATAACTTTCAAACAAGTGCTGCTGTAAGCTGAGCTATGTCTTCCACACAATGCTATTTAGCCCGCTGAGGCATAGGGACAGGAACTGGGACGTGGTGCAGGGAGTCACAAAAAATTGAGAGTGGGGGACGGTTTCGACTCTCGGCGTCCGAATGTCGGAGAGTCTCAAAGCTATTCCCCCCCCCTTTTTTTCCAACTCTTCTTCAGACCTTCCCGCGCTTTTATCTGCAGGGCATCATTTCATTCGAAGTCATGTTTGGGGGATGAAGGTCTCCCGGGAATATTTAGGTCTGACCGAGTTCAATCTCAAAAACCAGAGCTGTGCACTGTAAGAGATATGGGCTCAATACTCTCGGACTTACCTCTCTGAACAACAAGAAGAAGAACTCGGATGTGGTGGATGGTGCACGCTCGCCTCCCCTTCCACAACCAGTTAAGCATTGAAGCGGGAGCATCGGGTTCGATTCCCAGCGTCCCAATAGTGTGCATCCGCCAAGTGTTTTATTTTGTTCTCCCTCATTCTCTACCTACTCATGTCCACATCTAACTATTTTATTCGCAAATCAAGGCCTCGATTCAAACGAGTGCAGTCTCAAAAGCCAGAGATGTACATAATAAGTACGTTCTCGATACTCTGAAAGTCTCTCGCTTCACCCCCTCAATAACGAGGAACTCGGATGTGGTGCATGGTATACGCCCGTTTTCCCTTTAAGCGATCTGAGTAAATAAAATGAAGTGGGAGCTCTGGGTTCGATTCCCGGCGTCCGAATGATTGATCTTTTTTCCTTTTCCGACTCCTCTTCCCGCGAGTTTACTGACCCCTTGTCTGAAGGGCATCCAGCCACTCATTTTATTTGAAGCCCGGTTTCCGTGTGACACTTGATTCAACTAGCTCAACGCAGAGGATTCGAAGTTCTCGAGGACAGGTATGTCTGCATAATCTGGTACTTACTTCGCTGAGAAATATTGATAGAAACTCGGACGTGATGCATGGTGCACACCTGCCGTCTCTTGAAGATTTCTTTTGTCCTTTCTTGCATTCTTTGTGGCGGCTCCTGTACTCGTTTTTTTACCCAGTTGATTTTTTTGGACCGAACTTCGCAATGGTGACTCGTGCTTGGGCCCGGGCTTGGGGCAATTTTCTTTCAGCTATGATAAGTTTGGTTGCACAATCTTATCTGAGACCTCCCTTGCCTCACTGAGCATTTTTTTAAACACTCAGAAACGACGCCTCGAAGGTGTTTGATGAGATTCAACATTCCATCAACACCGGGATGTCAGTGTTCAACCTCAAATAAGTAAGCTGAAACACTCACAAGGTTTGTTGCAGAAATAAAATCACATTCATAACATGAGCTTGAAGTGGTCAATTTAGCCGGATGTTGTCCACACATACCGACCCGGGCTCAAGCCCGGGTCGTGGGTCAGACAAAAATCTGAGCCCAACCCTGAGCCCTACTGGGCCCGGGCTTGTCTCGGGCTTGGGCTTGAGCCCTGACCCGGGACATCACTATTCCCAGAGTTGTCCGTGCGTTCCAGATATGTAACGAGCAAACTCTCATATTTACCCAGCTGAAGAATAGGCGGAGGAACTCGGATGTGGTGCATGGGGCACCCCCGCTGGTCATGGAAAGTCTTTCTCTAGTGTCATGAGGTGGGAGCACCAGGTTCGACTCCCGGCATCCGAATAAGGGAGGTGACAAGCTTTTTTTTTATCTCCCTTTTGATTCATTCTCGGCCCACCTATGCCCAAATCTGACTATTTTATTCAGAACCGGGCTATGCAAGGCCTCTCTGGCCGAGTTCAACCTCAAAAAGGCCACGCTATATCTTCGATACTCTGAAAGTCTCGTACTTGCCCCGCGGAAGAGCGAAAATGGTAACTCACACTTTCCATTACCATGGAGACATCAAGTAAGCGGGTGCCCCGGGTTGGATTCCCGGCGTCTGAATGGTCTTCGGTTTTTTGGTTTCTTTGCCCCTTGTTCATTCGCTCACTTGTTCTTCTACCCCAGACCCTTGGCCCCGAACTTCACAATGGTGACTGGGGAGAAGTTGGATTCGACCTCTTCACGGGAACACTGCGGTCAGAGGCATATTCCCCTGAAACTCCCGTACCTGCTGAAGAATAAAGATAGAACCTCGGATGTGGTGCATGGTGCACGTCCGCTTCCCTTTACGTGATTGAAATAGATGAAGCGGGAGCACCGGGTTCGATTCCCGGCGTCCGAATGGTATTGGCCGTTGATATTTTTTGATCTTCTTTAGCTTTGCTTTGCTCCCTCGTTTTTCATCTAGCTGCCTTCTTCGCACCATGGTGACTCGTGAGAAGTTTGATTCGACTTCTTCAAGGATCAGAGGCACGGGTTCCCTCTCAGACTTTCATACTTACCCCGCGGAAGAATACGAATAGAACCTCAGATTTAGTGTCTGGTGCACACCTGCTGCCCATGAAACATCTTGCCACATTCTCGTAAAGCGGGAGCATCGGATTCGACTCCCGCCGTCCGAATTTGTCGCTTTTTTTTTTTTTGGCTGCCTGTTCTTTCGCTCAGTTTTCTCTCCCCAGTTGACTTCTTCACCCCCGAACTTCGCAATGGCAAGCAGGGAGTTGTTTCGGATGATATTCTGGATCAGAGCGAAAGTTCAAATACAGGTATAACCGCATATACTTACCTATTTACCCTGTTGAATAATGGGTAAAGAAACTCGGATGTGGTGCACGGCGCACACCCGCTTTCCCTTCCGGGGCATCCAGCAAGAATGAAGTGGGAGCACTGGGTTCGATTCTCAGCATCTGAATACATAAGAGCCATTGTATTTTTCTCTCTTTCTTCCTTCTTTTTTTTTTTGAAAATGGGTTATTCCGAACCAGGGCGTACTGTGCTGCCTGAACTAACCAGCTCAACACGAAGGATTCCAAGTTTAGGTATGTCCTTCAACTCTCGCACGTACCTTGCAGAAGAATCGGGATAGAACCTTGGATGTGGTGCGGGGCACACACCTGCCATCTCTTGAAGATTTCGTTTCAAGTAGGCCCCGGGTTCGATTCCCGGCGCCCGAATAGCCAGGATACCAACCGGTTCCCCCCCCTCTTGTCTAAATCCTCTCCCCTCTTCCCTAGCTTTTATTGACCATTTGTATGCAGGGTGTGTGGGCATATTGTTTGAGGTCGTGTGCGTGCGATCAAGGTCTTTCTGACAGAGTTCATTCTTTGAAAGCCTGCTTTGAGGGAGGCACGTAGATATTTCCTCCGATCATCTCCTGCGTACTGTGGGACAGGGACTCGGACGCGGTGCGTGTATTCATCAACCAAGTCTGCGATTCCATGAAGCGGGAGCATCGGGTTCGACTCCCGGCGTCCGAATATCGGAGACATCCCAGCTTTTTCCTTGCCCCCTTTGCAGATATTTTATTCAGGCCCAGGGCGTGTCCTCATTGATTTAACTAGTTCATTTTGTTTCTTGTTCACCCGTTGGGATCAGAAATGCTTCTTCCAACTCTCTCACTTACCCCGCTGGAGAATAAGGGTAAAGAGTCGGATGTGGTGCATGGGGCATACCGACTCTAGCTAGTTGATGATATTGTCCTACGAGGCGGGAGCATTGGGTTCGATTCCCGGCGTCCGAATAATTTGGGTCTCGATCTTTTTCCCCTCTTTCCGAGCCTTTATTGACCCTTGGTCTGCAGGGCATCTAACCACTCATTTCTTTCTGACGTCTTGTTTGGGTAATCGAGGTCTCCCAGGAATATTGATAGGCTTGACCGACTTTGCTCATAAAAACCAGAGATGTAGCGAGGTACGTCCTCAAATTCTCGTATGTAACCAGCAGAAGATTAGGGAGAGAAACTCGGATGTAATGCACGGTGCACCCCTGCTGGTCATCAATCAACTCTTGGAGTGCATGAAGCGGGAGCTCCGGGTTCGACTCCCGGCGTCCGAATTATTTCTGTGGTTTCTTCTGATTTTCTTGTTCTCGTTTTTCCTCCTGTTAATCCATCCATCTTTGGCTAATTTTAGTGGACGACTTCCGGGAGGTGAGTTAAGACCTGGCATCTAATTTCTTTTGTAAATTGCACTGTAAGGCGAGGTACGTCTTCCAACTCTCTCACTTACCCAACTGAAGAATAAGGGTAAAGACTCGGATGTGGTGCACAGCGCACGCCCGCTTTCCATGGCTGGCGGCATCGACTTGTAGGGCGGGAGTATGGGTTCGACTCCCCGCGTCTGAATTGCCAGGCTCTCAAAGCTATTCCCCCCCTTTTTTTTCCAACTCACCTTCCCGCGCTTTTATCTGCAGGGCATCATTTTATTCGAAGTCGTAGTTGGGGGATGAAGGTCTCCCGGGAATATTAATGGGTCTGACCGAGTTCAATCTCAAAAACCAGAGCTGTGCACTGTAAGAGATATGTTCTCAATACTCTCGGACTTTACCCCCCTGAAAAACAAGAAGAAGAACTCAGATGTGGTGCATAGTGCACGCCCGCCTTCCCTTCCATGATCAGGATTCAGAAAAGCATTGAAGCGGGAGCACTGGGTTCGATTCCCGACGTCCGAATACATTTATGGTGTTTTTTTTCCCTTTCATTCTTTGGCTCTGCTCATCTTCATCTATTCCATTCTCTATCGAGACATCTAACTATTTTATTCGCCGATCAAGGCCTCGGTTCGACCGGGTTCAATCAGACAAATCAGAGGTGTACATAAGAGGTACTTTCAATACTCTGAAAGTCATTCACCTCACCCACTTAATAACTAGGACAGGAACTTGGATGTGGTGCACGCCGTACCCCTGCTGATCATGGAATGTCTTGCCCTAGTCTCCTGACACGGGTGAACCGGGTTCGACTCCCGGTGTCCAAATGATAGGCATCGTCGCTTTTTGTTTCTTTGCTGCCTGTGTCTTCGCTCACTTTGTTCTACCCAGATCCTTGACACCGAACTTCGCAATGGACTCATGAGAAGTTTGATTCGATCTCTTCACGGGGAACATGCCGGGGTCAGAGGCACGAAACGTTCATACTTACCCCGCTCAAGAATTGGGAAGTGAACTCGGACGTGGTGCATAGCAGACACCTGCCATATTTTTTAAGTTTCTTAACTTGAATTGAAGCGGGAGCACCGGGTTCAATTCCCGGTGTCCGTTGAATTCGTAGACCGTCGCACTTTTCTCTCTCTCTCTCTCTCTCTCTCTCTTCCTCCAAACATTTTGGCCCAAATCAGGCCTTGATTCAACTAGCTCAACACAGGATGTATGTCCGCATACTCTGGTACCTACCTTGGTGAAGAACAGGAACAGGAACTCGGATGTGATGCATGGCACACCCGTGCTGCTCATGATGCCTCTTACTCTGCTCTCATGACGCGAGAGCCCCGGGTTCGATTCCCGGCATCCGAATATGTAACTTTGAGTGTCCCATTCCTTTTGTTACCTTTTCCCTTTGTCCAACTCCTCTTCCCCGGTGTTGACTAACACAATTCAAACGCCGAGTGCCGATGTTTTTGATTTCGAACCACTTCGGCGCAGACTGATTCAATTTCAGGGCGGAAATTTGTGGGGAAAGCAGCCCTCAGCCTGGATTCCTCTGAAACTCTCTAAGGTATCCTGCGGAAGAATAGGGATAGAACCTCGGGCGTGGTGTTCGGCGCACACCCGCTTTCCCTGGGATTGGTAATGGACAATTAAATGGGAGCACCCACCGGGTTCGACTCCTGGCGTCTGAATTGCAAGAGTCTCGATGCTTTTGCTTTTACATTTTGTTTTCAAA